CCGGGCCCGGGCCCTGCTGTTTCGTTTCGGTTTCGAAAGGCCGGCCGCCGCAACCCGAACGGGTCGGCGCCCCCGCCCCGAGACCAGAGTCAAAAACGCTCGGCTTGGGTAGAGAGGCCAGTACTCAAACGTAATAAACGAAAGCACAGCTGTTCGAGTGTATAGAATCGATACACCCACACCAGGGCGGCCGCCTCTCAGCTCTGAAGCCATATTTCTCGCTAGTGTGAGTTGACAGGTTACAGCGCGTGACAGTGTGGGACAGGGGGTGTCGCCCTGTCGGCGGTCGGCTCTCGACCCGCGACCGGCGCCATGCGGACAGGCCTCGGTCATCGCATCAGCTCTCTGTGATTTCTCATGGAGTGGGCGTGCCACTCGAGCTGATCGAGCATTCGTTCGCAGAGCTTGAACCCCATTGCGTCCTCCGCTAGCAGGCCATCCTCGCCAAACGTGCCCGGCTTCCACGCGCCGGTCAGCTGCATCGTTGCGCTCACGGGCAGGCAGCCCAGCTCGGAGAGATAGGCGCGCAGGGCGACGCCACAGCGGGCTCCGCCCCACATGCCGGCGGAGTAGGTGCAGATGCCGGAGGGCTTGTACGCATACGTCTGGGCTCCAAAGTGATTCATCATGTTGGTGAGGGCAGGCGCGATGGTGTGGTTCATCTCGGGCGTGCAGACTACGTACGCGTCCGCCGCGCGCAGGGCCTCCGCCGCGGCATCGAGCTCCGGCGGAACGGCCTCTCCTTCCTTGTAGTGGAAGTGAGCCTTCTCCATGAGCCGCATGAAGCAGCCACCGAACGACTCTCGCGGATCAAACACGTCCACCGTGTGGCCTCTCGCGGCGATCCGCTGCTCGACGTGGCGGGCCACACTCGGACCGACGCGCTTCGCCCGCGACGATCCGAGGAGGAGGCTGACCCGCAGTGGACGCGGCATGGTAAAGGAAAACGGGTGAGTGTTTTGCCGCCATATGGCGGCAAAACACTTAAAATGAGCTACATATTGCAATACACTAAAAAACATCTAGGGGGAGAAATAAAATAAATCCCAAACTGTCACTCCCCTTTCTCCCGGCCGGGGTGGGCGCGCGCGGGGGGCGGCGGGTGTGCGGGATGTCTGTGGGACCGAGAGCGATATGCCATGTCCCCCCAGCGTTTGTTTCATAACATCGAAGGGAAAGCTCAAAAATAAAAGGCCTGTGGGCCCGAGAGCGATATGCCATGTGCACCTTGCGTTTGTTTCACAACATCGAAGGGTAAGCTCAAAATAAAATGAAGGTGGAGAAATAGAGCTCTAGAGGCTACAGCTTCGCAAAAAAGACCCGATGCGCGCCGGGCTGCGACGGCCCGGGATGAGCTCCCCACGATGCGACTAAGTGAGATCAATTGACCTACCGGACCTATAGTCCACCCCTATCATGTCTATACTGACTGCAGACGACCACATGCCACACAGCATCACGCACAAGCACAAGACACCGGATCGCAAAAAAGACCCGCGGTGCTCACACACACCCACGCGCTCGTGCATGCCGAACCAGCTCTAAAAAAATACCACCGGGACCGCCTCGCCAAGGCGCACAATAGTCAGACTGACAGTGTTTTCCAGTTGTGGCATCCTCGGCAGCCAGAAATAAATGGGGACCGGCAGACGGTCACGCAGAGGGTACGGGGTTGAGAGCATTTTCCAGCGGCCCAGGATGACGCATCTGGAAAATGCTGTCAGTCTGACTATTGTGCGCCTTGGCAAAGCGGTTCCGAAGGTATTTTTTCCGAGCGCGGTGGACTTCATCTTGCCGGTCAACTGCCGGCAAGATGAAGTCCACTGCGCTCGGAATTGGGATGTCCGGAACCGCCTCGCCGAGGCGCACAATAGTCCTCAGTCTGGCGAAGGCCAATTCTGTCATCCTGGGCCGCCGCTGACATCTCTCTCTCGACCGGTACCTCGCTTGGGCGGTACCGGGCAAATGCCGGTACCGGCGCTCAAAACCTGCGGTACCGGAGGCCGGTACCTTTATTTGTTTAGGGGGTCTCACAGTCCTACTCGAGTAGGTATCCCGTTCACAGCTAGGGACGGCCTCTGCGGCAAAGTCAAACCACCCCCCACCCACCTACCTACCTACCTCCCACCACCGCAGCAAACCTTCGGCTCCCGCTCAGAGGCTCGCCGCGCCCGTGCGGCGCGCCGAGGCGGTGCCGAGGCCGGCGCCTTGCACCCGGCCCGCGGCCGGCACCGCCTCGCCCCACCACTGACCGCCCTGCGGCCCCTGCGCAGGCGTACCACAGGCGTCGCTCAAAAAGCGACGCCGGGTGTGGGCTGCTCCCTTGACCCGTCACCCGCCGCGCCCTCGCCCGGCCGCCTCACCGCTCACGGAGCGCTCGGCTGCTCGCCGCCGCCGCCGCGCGTCCCGCGCCGCCACGCATGCCCCTTGCCCTGACGCGCTCGCTCTGCAGCGGCAGAGCGCGCGTCTGTCACAGACGGAGCAGCGACCGCGCCAGCGGTCGCTGCTCCGCCCCTCCGTCGCGCGCGCCGCGCGCGCGCCGCCCCCGCCCCCGCCCCCGCTCCCAAGCGCCCCTTCCCCGGTAGGTGTGCGTAGAAAGTGGAACCAATCGAGAGGTGGCAGAAGCCCCGTGTGTGACACATATTGCGGCACGTGAGTGAGACAGAGCCCCGGCGCGCGCGCGCAGCGCAACAGGCGTTTTTTATGCAAACAATCAAACGGGACGGCCTGCGCAGCCTCTAACTATTTTCTCACCGCTCTTTATTCTCGTTTATTCACGAGGCGACCCCAGGGTCTAGGTTCCCTAGTGGCGTGCTGTGAATAAACAGCGAAGAAGACGCCAGGTATTTTCTTCTGAACTAAGACGGTTTGCCCGGCGCCACGTGGCGCCGGGCCCGCCCTCCAGGGCGTGGCACGTCCTAGGGCACGTCTAGTGCCAGCGACGCAAACGGCAAGTGTTTTGCGACGGGTAGTGTTGGGACCAACACGACGCCGATCGTTGAAAGTAGCAACCACTCACACACACAGCCTCTAACCAACTGGCTCAGTTGAAGAGGCCGCTCCCACAGCTCTCACACCTATCTCTCTGGTACACAATATTGGAAGCGTTGTGAATTGTGGACTATTGGCCTCCTCAAAATCTCTCTCTCAACTCTCTCTCCGTAAGACTTCGGAGAGAAGGCAAGCCGTGAAGTTGTCAACCGTCTCGGCGTCGACAACAACTGGAACTCGAACCAGTCGTGCTGCGGGAACGGTCACCCCTCTGATTGTTCTGACAGGCACGCCTTGCACCTCGCCATGGATCCGTGGCAGAAGCCAACCCCGCAACGTTTTCAGGCAAGAGAGGAGGAAGACGCGCATACCAAAACTGCTCCAATCGGTAGCTCCGTGCGTTGCCTTTCACTGTGTAGGAGTTGCTGCAGCTTCTCGATCTTTGAAGTCTTGTCCTGCAGCAACATTTTCTGCCTCCAAATGTAGTCTAATACGTCATCGCACCTCCGCCATGAGGACGGCCTTGTGCGAGCGCTGTCAATGTACGGTGATTGAGAACAAAGCGGCCGGAGTGTTCTTGTTGCCTTCAAGACATATTTCCTGAGGTAGCTCGTTCCCTTGGTGAGGGCGGTCGTGTTCGTCATGGCCGGGTCGTGCGCATGTACGTCTGGGCGACGTCCGTCGGACTTCGGTCCGCCATCTTTAGCAGGTCTTTGATCGGCTTCAAATCGTCCTCCTTGAGAGAGAGATTTTTAGCAATACCAAACAACTCTAACACTCACACGTCGTTTGGGGCCTGGAGCCCTGTTCACGCGCGCGCGAGACGTGCAGACAGGGTTGCCAGGTGAGAGCGAATGGCGCGGTTCACGCCTCGCACAACAGAGAGAGAGATGCGCTCTGCATGGTGGGACATAAAAGAAAGCGAGTACTTGGGCGAGTAGGCCGTGCGGTCGACGCTGCCGCGCGCGGCTTTGCGCGCGAGGCGGCGCAGCTTGAGAACGGCGGTGGGCGAGAAGCCGCCGCCGAACGTCTCGTGGAGCAGCAGGTTGAAGTTGTTGCGCTTGACAAAGATCGCGTCGTGGTAGAAACCGCGATGCGCCTTGACGTAGCCGTGGCCGTTCTTGTGGTCGAAGGGTTGGCCGGGTTGCCCGCGCGCCTTGCAGCCCATGTTTGTTCCTCCTTGACGCGCAACCACAGAGAGATTTTTGTGTGTCAATCACAGTCCTTCCTTTGACATGGCAGGCCATTCTCAAGCCCTACAAGCACCAGATCAACCATTGGGGAGGGTTGGCATCGTGATTTGCGCGATTTTTTTCTTTTTATGCTGTGAAAATTCCACAAATTCCAGCGTGAAGAGAGTGGAAAACCCGGACGGGAGGGCCCAGACCTACCCTACCTACCCCGGCATGAGTTCCGCCCCAAGCAGAGAAAGAAAGAAAGAAAACAGACAACCCAAGGGAGCCCACCATCTCCTCCTCATGCCCCACTTTTGCCCCTGCCCTCCCTTGCGCCCCTCACCCAACAACCACCCAATCCCCACACACATCAACATTTAGCGGCCCGTGCACTGTGATGTGAGGCTTCACTGTACAATTAATAATAAGCCGGATAAGGCTTCGGCCACCGAGGCTTCGGCCACCGAGGCTTCGGCCAACGAGGCTTCGGCCAACGATATTATTACTGCTCCACTCCCCCACCCCCCCCCACCCCCGCCCCCCCGCCCCCCCACCCCCGCCCCCGCACTCGCACTTGCACTTGCACTCGCACTCGCACTCGCACTCGCACTCGCGCTCTGCCCCCCCCGCGTACCCGCCGCCCGCGCCCCTTCTCCCCTCACCCTCCGCCCTCCCTTCCCCGCGGCCCAACCCGTCCTTCAAGGCTTCGGCCACTGAGGCTTCGGCCACCGAGGCTTCGGCCACCGAGGCTTCGGCCAACGAGGCTTCGGCCAACAGAAAAAAAAAATCCTCCCGCCCTCCGCCCGCCCTTCCCTCCGCCCAGCCCTCCGCCCTCCGCCCTCGCCCTCCGCCCTTGCCCTGGCCGGCCTGGGTGGCATCTCCTCATCATCACGCGCCAAGTGGGAGGGAAGTGGACGGGGCCCTGAGCCGACCTAGCCCTAAACGG